GTAGCATGGACAGAAACTAAAGTCAATCCAATCAAATACTTATTTAATCAAGCAAGGAATTTCTATAATCATAAAACATAACACTATACTTAGCTTTATTTGCGCCGGGTTCATGTAGAAACGTCCCGACGCAGCGTAAGTAAAATATAGTGGCAATCAGGCCCCAGAAGAGGGCTTTACTTGGCGTCACGTTTACAGAAAAATATGAGAAATAAAAACACTATACAGCACCTGGTGCTCTGGTATATTACAAAAGGTGAAGGACAAGAGAGTGCGTCAGACCAAGACGAAGTTAGCGCTTCTCGTTTGGAGGAACCACAACTACGGGGATGTGCGAGTGGTGTAGCACATGGTCGCTGACGCTGCCCAAAAATGTGCGCCTCAGGGTGCCAAGACCACGATTGCCCATCACGATTATGTCAGCTTTATGGTCGATTGATGATTTGACGAGAGCATGTCCGGGTTTAGTATCCACGTGTAGAAAGGCTTTAGAGTCGACGCCAAACTCTTTCGCCTTTCGCATGAACTGCTGTCCAAGCTTTTTGCCACTTTCAATGCTCTCTTCCATAACTCGAGTCATGTCGTCCACTAGTAGAGGTGGCGACTCCATTGCCAGGCCAACGGCTGGTGTCGTGTAGACAGGCTCAATAACATGGATCAGATGAACACAATCGCCGGCTTTCTTGAGATTCTCGATATACCACACAAATGCACGATCGGAATGCTCGCTTCCATCAATGGGGATAAGGATGTTCCGCAAGATGGCACCCTTACTCTCTGACATAGCCGATAGTCGGGAAGACAAAGGACCGGGCTGGAATAGAGTGAGACAGCAGACAAAAAGAACCGCCTTGTGGCAAGAGAATCAACGTGGCTCATAATCGATTTCAAGACAGCCATTTATACGGTTCATTGGCTGATACCATACTGGCAGTTTGATTGGTTAAAATAAACTCACCAATTAAAGGGCAAATTCGTTAACAAATTCAAGCCATCTCCAATTGCCTCCAATGTCTGAATAGAGCAAGACTTGTGTCAAAATCGTAATTTAGCATGATCTAGCCTTTTTTTTCACCACACTTATGCATGCAACAACTAAAATTACGGCTATTACTTAATTTCATTAGCCAAACAAGTATATTAGTCCTGCAGCCTATATGTTATCCTGCCGTTTTTAACTTCAATTGTCGTGTTTTCTAAGGCTCATTCGTCTCAGTTCCTACGACCAGTAGGAATGCAATTCTAGGCTGAGTATGTGCCTGTTGGGCTAAGGTCTATGAACTGCTCCCCTAAGAGCATATATATTGCTTGCGCCTTCCCTCTTCTCTGGGCTTCCCTGGTTTTCGTTATAGTCCTCTATTCCTAAGACAAACATACG